TGCTGAGGCATGTGTGAATTATGTTTTTTAGGGATCTTCACATAGAAAAATGGCAAGTTGATAATAAAATTTTTTTTAGCAGTGATAACAGTCACAACAAGCTTAATGATTTTAATTCCTCTCCAATCTGACAATTTTATTGGTGAGGATTGGAAACATTAAAACTTGAATGAACTCACATGAGAAGTGCTTAACAGTAGTTGGCATGGAGACTGTCCAGGTGGGAAGAGAGGATGATGATTAGGATTAGGGTAGCAACAATTAAGACAGAAATAGGGGTAGATATAAATTAAATAATTTTTAGCCCTATCCCTAAGTAAGCTGAAAGAAAATGTAATCTAATGAAAATCACCATAATGCTAGAGATGAACTGTTTTTTAGAATTAAAGGGAATGATTTTAGTTCGGTATTTCTTTTTGCAGTCCCCCCACCCCCATCTTGCCATTGTTAGGATTATCAGAAATCCTGCAAGAATAAGCATAACCATCTCAAAACCGTACTGATATCTCCCTGCCCACAAAAGGTTCTTTGCCAATGTATTCAATCATAGTGAATGCCACAAACTTCCATCCAGTTCCAAAGTCACAAATTCATGAGTCATTTTCTATGCCTTCCTCTTACCCTCTATATCTAACCCATTCACGTCTTTTTCCCAAATGTTTCTCAAATCTACCACTTTGCTCCAACTGTATCATCACCAGGTAAAATCTATCTCGTCTCATCTGTTCTCCATAATGCACAAATTTCAAACCCAGGAGTCTGGCTCTTAACCTCTTTCTCTGTCCTCAGCTTGGAAGATGGAACAAGGTCCCCCCCATACTGTATCTGCACGACACTATAATTCTTCCAATGCATCATAAAGATGTACAGTTTGCTCCTTCATCTGGAACACTCTCCTCTGGGCTCACCTAATTAACTCCTACTCCTTCAGATATCTGTCCTCGGTTTCTCAGGAAAGCATTCATCCCTGTATCACACCCCACTCCAACTGCATGGACTCTGCCTGGTTCTGGCTTTCACATTTACTGCTGGTCTAATTTTGCAATTACTTATGATTATTTCATGCTAAGCACCATAAGGGTAGGAATCCAATCTATTTTTTGCTGTCTAGCACAATGCCTGGAACACAGCATGCAATATATACTGGCTAAACAAATACCCCACCCATCACGATTAGGTCCAATGCTAAGTCAATACCCTCAGTTTTGACATGTCGAGGTCATAGTTATTTGTATAGGCAGAATTTGGAATGCAAAAGAGCAAAATTAGAACTTAGATGCATCATTCAAAATAAATATAAAACATACGTTAAAGATAAATAACAGCCTACATAAGGTTATAGGGAGGCTGGAGTTCTACTATGGTTCATTAAGTCTGATACAGCAGGTATGCAGAGGAAACAGGAGAGACGTACAGCAGCTTCAAAGATTTGCAAAACAGCTACCAAAAATGAATTTAAAAGATAACATTTAGGAAGCTTGTTCCTTCCCACAACACCAGAAGAAAATGGAGCATTATGAAGAAAGTGAAAACATCTCAATTCCTTTAAACCCTCATACAAACTAAAGACATCCTTGATAGTTTTCATTCCAGAGATTTTTTAAGGAAATTCAGTCCTCTAGTAGTGTTAAACTTTTTATAAAAACTTCCAGGCATAAAACTGAAATTTAAACTTGGAGACATACTTCGGTTAATATTTTCTAACAAGGCATAAATACATAAAGTATCTCAGTGATAAGACTCTTGATAAATCCATTCATTTTTAATACAACTCAAAAGCCTACATAACTAAGTTTATCAATTGGTCATTAGTCCACCTAATACACAATTACAGTGTGTTCCTGATATGGTAAAGAAGAAATTTAAGTTATGCACCTCCTCTCTTGGCCAAATAAACTCACTAACACACTGATAGAAAGCCCTAAGGCTTTGTTAGCATGTTTCCCCTGTAAACCTGTTATTACTGGGATGATTTTGCTCACTGATATCAGCTACCTTCATTAAGATAAATGTTCATTAGCAAAATAAAGGTTTTAGCTGTTGAAAGAGCAATGCTACTAAGTCATCATCAAAGTGAATGTTCACATTAAATGTTACCTTTATATGTATTATTTATAAACACACTCATAACACATAACTTGTGGAATAAATATTTCTGAATATATGAGAATTAGAAAATCTAATTTGAAATTAGCCTATATTTTAAAAGACCTGGATTTCTACTATTCAAGAATAAACTGTGGCATAACAGCTATGTAACACTTCAGGGTTTTTTAGCAATGCTATATTCAATAAAAGTTGAGCTGTCACATTAATTTGCAGATACCAGCTGTTAAAAAAAGCCAGAGATTGCTCAGCTTTTCCATTTTTGCCGTTATCATAGTTTAAAAAAAGATTAAAAGACTCACTTAAATTTCCCAGTAAACCTTCCCTTAAAAAGCTCCCCCAAACCCTTTAGCTCTAGGGTTTCCAATCAAAGATGTGGTTGAAAAGGTAAAGGTAACCAAGGGGCTTTCTCTTGGAAACAGAAGTTTAAAGACCCAGAATTTACACACTCAAATCAGGCCATAATCTGACCCACGAAGGCAAACCCTTAAGCTGCACATTGCCCTGTGACTTTTCTCCCCTTCAATAACTGCTTCTGACACTAAAAGAATTTAAGAAAACCCCAGAATCACAGAGCTGAATCTTCTAGCTCTCTACCCTCACTGTGCAGATGAAATATCACACAATCCATACCCCGCTCCCAAAAACAAAATAATAGCTGAAACCAGAATAGAACTAGAGAGTGGGCAACATAAAAGCTAATCAGAAAGTAAATACAAGTAGCCATTTAGAGATAAGCCACCTGGAGAAAAGGAAACCAGTCCTGCTTTTTAATAATTTTATTTTTTCTAATTTTGTGTTAATTTCCCATAGCACCTTGGCAATGTTGAAAACAAAAATACAAATACAACGATGTACTCATTATAACATAATATGCATGAGCATGTGTCACACCATTTGCGGGGGGGGGGGGGGGGGGGGGGGCTATGGAAAAAAAAAAAAAAAAAAAAAAAAAGAAAAGTATTAAAAAGCAGGAGTGGGTGGTGGGCGGGGGGGGGGGGGGGGGGGGGGGGGGGGGGGGAGAGTGGTTTTGACAACAAGAACAAACCTAAGCAATGGACAAGAGAAGCCAGATAACTGGTTCTGACTCCCAACCCCGAACATTTAAGAGATATCACTCACACCTGAATCAGGCAAAAAACAAAACCCAGTAACGATGTGGATTGTTTCTTACACTAATCAGTGTTTTGTGCTTCAAAACTGAAAATAAAACCATTTCATTGTATACACAGCCTGTTGATATCTCACTTGTACTTTCAGGAAGCGTCTACTCAACAATTCACAGCTTTTAAAAATAAAATTGAAACTATTTAATAATTAGGTGGAATTTAAAAAAGAATACACTCTCAACTTGAAAACAAATTCTCTTTCAACTTCTTAAAATGTCCTCAATTAATGAGGACTGAAATGTCTATGTATCTTCTTGAAATCTCAGACTAAATTAGCATACACCAAAAAGCCCAAAGTTAAATTAATGGCCACCAAATTGTAAGGAAATATAAAAACTTAGGAAAGAACACCGTACACTGTAGTTAAGAATTTACAAAAACTCCTCTTTCGCATTTTACCCTTCCTGTAAAAACAAAACAGTACTTTTAAAATATGGTTAATATACATGGCCAACATAAATAACAGACTTAACCCCAGTGCTGCTCAACTGTATCAAAGTAAAACCAATGGACATTTAAGCCAAAAGACTAAATATTTAAGGCCATAGCTAATAAAACTATAAAGTGTTCAGTAACTTTTAAATATTAGTCTCTGCTCCAGCAGATGCTAATACTCCCTCATTACGCCTTCTCCAAAGCCAACCTGGTATTTAAAAAGAAAAAGGAATGTACAACAATATTCAAGATACCTTAATTTTAGAAACCAAAAATAAATAAATCTGCATGTCATCTGATCACATGCAAATAGAGCACATAAGATGATAAGAACAATAAAACCATATCACTGAAAGATCTTATCTTCTTCCAAAATCCAGTTGAAAAAAATTTAGATGGATCATTCCTTTGAATGCCAGTGTCTATATTTGCAAAAATGAAATTACTCAGATTAAAGACAGGCCTAGATACCATGAAAACCTTAATTATCTGGATAGAAAATGGAGGCAGGTTTTGCCATATCTCTATCTATATACCTTCTCTGTGAAGTGCAAGGTGATGAACTTGTGTGACTCTTGTTCTCATGCATTTAAGAAGTATGGCAGAAGATCACTGAACCATACACTCAAGATCATTTGTATCTACTTTTACCCTCCAACAACCCAAGGACACGTTAAGTCATAAGGATGAAGAGAAAAACTTGACATTTAAATTCCTCGTTCTAAAGAACCAAATAAATAGTTAAACTACAATGAATGCCCGACCCTCATCAGTTACAGAGTAATGCTGTAAAAAAAGCCATCAGTTTCACACAACTCACAGGCATCATTTAGATACAAACCTTAAATCTGATATAATAAAATAAATGCTAAATACATATTGTGAATATATATATTATATATATATATATATACACACACACACACACACATACACCCACACATTATTCTTCCCTATACATCCCATCAAAATGGGAACTATTAGCTGTAATGAGGCAAATTAACTGAAAAACATTATATTTAATATGAAATTTAAAAATGGTCATGTCTTTAAATTTCTACTTTCAATAACACCTTCTGGGAAAAAGCAAGAACACACTTGCTTTCTTGAAAAAGAACTCTTTTCTTGTGTATCAATTAGAACATTTAGTTTTTAGAAGTTGGGTAGACTAACAGCAAGTCATACAAGGATACAAGTAATATAGGCCTATTTCTGTGACACACTGTAAAAAAAAAAAAAAAGTATTGTTTCATCTAAGTGCAATAATTAAGTTTATAATCCTTACCAAGCGATTTTTGTAAAATGTTTATTCTCTTAAATCCAATACATTCACAGAGTGTTAACACTTTAAACGTTTATCATTTCCACCAGCTGCAGCATTATCTAAGTAAACCAAAATAAGCACTTTTATCATAGATGTAGTCAGTGATTATTAATACTTTTTTTTTTTAAAGGACCTAAACTTCCCCCAAATTTCAGCACAGGTAGTTTTATGGTATGTTTCCTTTAGTAGAAAATAGTGTGTAGAAATGAATAGTTTCAAACTGCTTAAATATATCATGTTATCAATCCACCAAATCAAAAGCAATTGCCAAGCTGAATAATAAGTTACAAAGAAATGATAATTCTGGCTTGTACAGAAATGTGCGGTGTTTTCAAAGCTCTGAACAGTTACCTACTAATACAAATCTCCAAAGCTTAACTTAGAGTTGGAAGATGAGTTTCACAGTAATGTAATTTTAACCCTCATTTACATTCATTTTAATATATTACTAAGATGTTTACTCTATGTCACAATGGTGCTTTCCAGTGTTCACAATTTACAGTTTCAATTTGTACATATGTAATTCACTAACATAAGGGACAGTTATTACTATCACAAACTATCCCTAAAAAGAAAACAAAACCCCACCTTACATAGAACTCTGAAAATGGTATGACTTAAAACAGATTAATGCAACATGGTTTTTAATTTTTTAGCCATTTTCTAAACACCAGCATGTAAACTTGCCTATTTAATGTGAGAGCTACAACTTTATTCACTGAGAAATTATATGTTAATTTTAACTATCTTTCTAACCTCAACTCAAAAATTTTGTGACTTGCTGGTTCTGTTTCTGTGAATTCCAAACTGCTTTTTTTTTTTTTTTTTGAGAAAGGGAAAGAAGGAAGGTGATAAATACATTGCAAACAGAAAAGGTTGTCCCCAAATTAAACCTTTAAAAAGAAATTTCTTTTTACATCTATACTATTTAACACTTTAAGAGTCAGCTACAATGTTTCATCTTTAACACTAACACAAATAAATTACTGTAGGGTCGGTCTGCCCTATCATTCTGGGATCTAAAGTTCTAAATACATGACCAGAAGAGTAAAATACTTTAATGTTCAAGTCAGAAATTTAGAACAGTTATATGATTTGACTAGACTGAGCGAGGCAGCTAGAAACATACAATTCTGTAGGTGATTGGTTATTTTGCTTTTGGGGGTGGATAATCAAAGAACAGAGTAATGAAGAAAGTAACAAAAAAAAAGAAATCGTTTCCTATTTTGGGGGGGGGAAGAAAAATCACAGGGCAGCTTAAACCTCTGAGCTCCATTTGACCCACCCCCTCAGATATAACACAAAATTTTAATTTTTCAAATAACCCCCATTCTTTCCTTGAGTATCAAACTGATTGGTAGTCACATCCCCAAGTACAATCAGAGTTTAACAGCTTGTTGAATGAAATATTAGTAAGGTCAAAAAGACAGACTAAATTTCAAACTGGAAAAAAAAAAATCTACTCAAGTATTACATTCAGTTTTCAAATCATTTACTAACATGACAACAGATTTGGCTTCAATCATACTTGCACACACTCACACCACAACAGTCACCCCCAGCCACTGATCTGTTTTGCAACACAAGGCCATATAGGCAGAAATGGCATTCTCCAAGCCAAACTTTAAATAGATTAAAAAAAGTAATTTCTAATTTTACAGAAATGTTTCTTCAAAAAATATTTTCTCTCACTCCCTCATCTCCTATACTGAAGGATGTATAATGTGTTTTTCTCCCAAGCTAAATCTGAACCCTCAAAATTGATTCCAGGCAGAAGATCTCTGCAAATTAAAATCAAAAACAAAAATAGAAAAATTATATTTTTATATATGTATACATATATATATATATTTATACTGATTGGAATCCTCCAGCATTTTAAAATCGCTTTAGAGATGAATTTTGGGATTCTATAGCTCACAACTCCAAAATCCATAATGATTTAAGGATGTACTTTCTCTTGTTTCCTTCCTGGCCACGCCCTCCCCTCCAAAACAGTTCAATATAGCCAGGCTCAAGTTTAATGGGAAGAGAGAGAAGTTTCTGAACAGTTTTTTTGTTTTTGTTTACTTTGGTGATCTGGGTGGCACGTATTGCTCTTTGCCATTACGTCGAGTCACTCCCTGAGGTATAGCCCTATGGCCAAACTGGCGTCTCTGTTCCCTGATTTTTCCAGCTGCTCCCCTGGGAATGGCATTGCCTCGGAAGCCAGAGTAATCCTTACTAGCCCTTGCTTCTGGCTTCTCATGTTGTTTCTCGAAGGACTTCTCAGGAGCTCCATTCTCTTCATTTTTGGTGGGAGATACTGCATTGGAGCGAAGTTCTCGCAGTGGCTGCACAAGCACTGGAGCTGGCTCTTTAGGGGGCTTCTGGCACACTTCAGCATAACTTAGCTTCCGAGGTTCCTTTGAAGCAAAGATAAGAAACAAAAACATTTATGGTACATATTCTCTAAATAATAAAGTACAGAAAGAATAGTGTTAACCACAAGAAATCAGTAAGTTATCTTGTAGGAAAGGGCACTAGGCAGTCTCTTATACACTGCTATTAAAGTGTACAGGTACAATCTTTAAAAATAAAATTTGTTGAATATAATTAAAAAGTCTTAGCAATTTATGTATGATACAATAATTTCACTTGAGATATTTATTTGAAGGATATACAAGTCAGCAATGTTTATAATGATGCAAAAAAACCTGGAAACCTAAATGGCTAACAAGGAAGAACAGATTAAATTAATAATGGTACATCCACATGATGAAATAAAATGGTTCCATTCTCTCTTCCCTGACTACAAAGAACCCTAAGAGAGATATAAGAATCTCAGCAGAGCAGTTGGAAACCAATAATATAAACTCTTAATTACCTCATCTGAAAAGGAGGAGAATAGGGATGTTGTGAGAATGGGCTAAAGCATAAAAAAAGTCTTTAGTACTGGTCCTAGCATATAGTAGGCATTTCATAAGTGGTAGGTGCTATTCTATTATTATCATCGTTATTATTAAAAGACAAGATAAAATGTTCTTAACCTGGAAAAAAAAAAAGAGCTGTACCAAAAATGCACTAGTTATATCAATGAATGAAAAACTTATAGGTAAATTCTGTGGCTTTTTTCCCCCTGCTTTTCTATATCTTTCAAATTATAAAAATGATTCTGGAAATTGAATAAAAATGGCAGTGGCTCCTCATGGGTTTCATAGATTTGTTAAGCATTATACAAAAAAGAATTTCAAGAGCCTCAAAGCCTCTATACCCTAGCCCAAAAAAAGGTACAGTCATCATAATGAGAAGGAAGCTTCACTTAACCACAATCTGATTGGAAATAAAGCAATCAAAAGAAACAGAATAAACAGTAATTTCTTCATTCCCTCAACAAGGCTAAAATTTCCAATTTCTTCAGAGTGACTTTAAATTCCTTTTTCAATGCGGGCAACCAGCCCCAATTGGGCTATTTCCAAATGACTCTGCTCTAGCAGAGTTATGTGAAAAATAAAATTTCTCATTATTTAACCTATTGTTTTATTCTCGCTAAACTAAATTCATCAAGTTACCTGTAGGGCCACAGCTACAGCTGCACTTATGTTACTATTACATGGTGAAGCAGTATTTGTTCTCGATGGCTTTGCAGTACTCGGGGAAGAAACCGGTATAGTTGTCTGGCTGGGAACATCTTTTTGAACAGTTGAATCCTCTATTAGATCCTTTTCTTGCTGAGTTGTGCTATGGAAAAAAGAACTTGACATTAGGCTTAGTATAGAGCACAAAGAAACACCTGAGAAATGATCAGAAGAAAAAGTAATCTTAATGTGAAAGATCATCTACTTTGAAATTGTACCTTAATGCAGAAAGCTCAGCTGTACATGGAGGACTGGTGCTCATACTGAGTTGCTGGGCAGAGGTGCAGTCTGTCTGTTCATCCTCTGCAGTCACTGGGCAACTAACTCTCAACTCTTCCTTATCCTTAAAGTGGAAACATATTTCAAAATTGAACTTATATAGATACTTCTCCAAAGAAGATAAACAAATGGCCAATAAGCACATGCATGAAAAGCTCAACATAACTGTCCATTAGGGAAATGCAAATCAAACCCACAATGAGAAACCGTTTCACACTCACTAGGATAGCTATAATCAGTAAGACAGACAATAATGAATGTTAGTGATGGTATGTAGATATTGGGACTCTCATACATTGAGGGTGGAAATGTAAAATGATGCAGCCACTTTGCAAAAACAGTCTGGCATGGGGATTCCCCGGTGGCGCAGTGGTTGAGAGTCCGCCTGCTGATGCAGGGGAAACGGGTTCGTGGCCCGGTCCGGGATGATCCCACATGCCGTGGAGCAGCTGGGCCCATGCGCCATGGCCGCTGAGCCTGCGCTCCGCAACAGGAGAGGCCACAACAGTGAGAGGCCCGCGTACCACAAAAAAAAAAAAAAAAAGTCTGGCAGCTCCTCAAAAAGTTAAATATAGAGTTACCATATGACCCAGCAATTCTGCTTAGTTATAAACCCAAGAGGAAACACGTCTATACAAAAACTTATACACAAATGTTCACAATAACATTATTCATAATAGCCAAAAAGTGAGAACAAGCTAAATATTCAGCTGGTGAGTGGATAAACAAAATGTGGTGTAACTATCCAGTGGAGTATTATTGCACAATGAAAGGAATGAAGTACTGATCCACACTATGACAAAGAATGACCCTTGAGGACATTATGCTAAGTGAAATAAGACAGTCACAAAAAGACAAATACTGTTTGATTCCACTTATATGAGATACCTAGAGCAGTCAATTTCAGAGACAAAGCAGAATGGTGGTTGCCAGGGCCTGAGAGAAGTGGGGGAATGTGAGCTGCTATTTAATCGGTAAACCATTTTAGTTTTGCAAGATAAAAACAGTTCTGGAGACTGGTTGCACAACAATGTGAATGCATTTAACACTACTTAACTGTACATGCTTAACATGGTTAAGATGATAAATTTTATGTTATGTGCATTTTACCACAAGTAAAAAACGAATATCAAGAAAGAGCCCTAGGGCTTCCCTGGTGGCGCAGTGGTTGAGAGTCCGCCTGCCGATGCAGGGGACACGGGTTTGTGCCCCGGTCTGGGAGGATCCCACATGCCGTGGAGCAGCTGGGCCCATGAGCCATGGCCGCTGAGCCTGCGCGTCCGCAGCCTGTGCTCCGCAATGGGAGAGGCCACAACAGTGAGAGGCCAGCGTACCAAAAAAAAAAAAAAAGAAAGAGCCGTAGAAATTAAAATCGACCGACAAAATAAAAATTTCAATAGGTTTTTAGGGGTATGGGATTAAAATGTTTTAAAATTTCAATAGGTTTAAAAGGTAACATTCAGGATAACTCTGTAGAAAATACAGACAGGTACAAAGATAAAAATTAGAAAAACCAAACAAGAAAATCAGAGGTTCAACATGCAAGGTCCAATATCAAATTAAGTGTTCATCCCATATTTGTGGGTTGGAATTATAAGAAGTACACTTTATTATTGTTCTTTAAAAATGTATCTATGGGGGGCTTCCCTGGTGGCACAGTGGTTGAGAGTCTGCCTGCCGACGCAGGGGACGCAGGTTCGTGCCCCGGTCTGGGAAGATCCCATATGCCGCGAAGCGGCTGGGCCCGTGAGCCATGGCCGCTGAGCCTGCGCGTCCAGAGCCTTGCTCCGCAGCGGGAGAGGCCACAGCAATGAGAGGCCCACGTACCGCAAAAAAAAAAAAAAAAAAAAAAAAGTATCTGTGAGGACTTCCCTGGTGGCGCAGTGGTTAAGAATCCGCCTGCCAATGCAGGGCACACGGGTTCGAGCCCTGGTCCGGGAAGATCCCACATACTGTGGAGTAACTAAGCCCGTGCACCATAACTACTGAGCCTGCGTGCCTAGAGCCCGTGCTCCGCAACAAGAGAAGCCACTACGATAAGAAGGTTGCACACCGCAATGAAGAATAGCCCCTGCTCGCCGCAACTAGAGAAAGCCTGTGCACAGCAACAAAAACCCAATGCAGCCATAAACAAACAAACAAATAAATGTGTCTGTGTATCACACCTCACCAAATCTCAGAAGCCATCAACTTTAAAACACACCATTATTTTATATACTAAGAAAAAACACTGCCACTAAAACTACAATAGTTTTTTAATTATAAAACAGCCTGACTTTCATGGGGAAAATGTAATAATAATAATTTTTTTTTTTTAAAAAAAGGTCTTAGGGGCTTCCCTGGTGGCGCAGTGGTTGAGAGTCCACCTGCCGATGCAGGGGACACGGGTTTGTGCCCCGGTCCGGGAGGATCCCACATGCTGCGGAGCAGCTGGGCCCATGAGCCATGGCCGCTGAGCCTGCACGTCCGCAGCCTGTGCTCCGCAACGGGAGAGGCCAGAACAGTGAGAGGCCCGTGTATCGGGGGGGGAAAAAAAAAAGGTCTTAGAAGTGGTGAAACAATTACAAAATTGCATAATTTTTTTAACAAGGGAAGACAGTGAAATACCTTCAAAATTCTGAGGGAAAATGATTTCTAATAGAGAATTCTACAGAGATAAGCTACTGATCAAGTGTGAGAACAGAAGAACATTTCAGAATGCAAGATCTCAAGAAATTTATACTAAAAACCTTATACAGGAAGCCTGGGAAGATGTGACCCACCATAATTTGGGAAAGTCATACAAGAGTAAGAAAAAGAAGGGATCCACCAAAGAAGAGTAAAGAAAATTCCCAGGATGACAGTGAAGTCCCAGGAACACAGCTGTGCAGAGTATAAGAAAGGAGACATAATAATAATATACCATAAGCCTCAGTTATGGAAAAAAATGATGCAATATTGAGATGTGACATACAAATGATGGCATAGCCTAGTCTAACTGGCAGTGTCTTTTACTTTCTTAGTGATACCAAAATAATGGGGCATCTTGTAATTGATGGCAGCATAGATATGATGAAGTACAATATATTGAGAGGATGAGAAAAGTATATTGGTTTAAGAGAGCTAATCCCTCAGCTTCCAGAATGTAAAGTTAATAGACAACATCTAAAACTGAAAAATCTAAGAAGGAGCAGTATAAACATGTTAATTAGATATACAGGGATAAATGTCAGGAGAAAAAGCTAGAGTTGAAAGTGGTAGCAGGGGACTACTATTTTTCATTATAAGCCTAGATATACTATGTACATGTACCCTTGAAAATGAAGCTGAATTAGAAACAAAAGGTAGAAAATGAGAAAAATTTGTGGGGCATGAGGATTTAGCATATAAAGAGGTCTACACTTAAAAAAACATTGTAGGATGGGTCATCCCAACCTTTTGACATCAACTCTCCATTTATTTGGAAGACTGAGTTTACCAGAGTAGCTTAGAATTCATTCGCGTTATCACTTAATTATCGATATATGCACTTAAGTGGAAATGACACTTTCCATTCACCTTTCATAAATTAGTTCTACCAAGCTGGGTTGACTGATACAAAGACAGGCAAAGGTGAAGAAACATTTTATTGACCTTGTGTAGCTTTATCACAAATCTTTTCATAATACTCAGAGTATGCTAAAAACTCATGAATAAACACTATGATAGAAATAAACATTGAGTGCAAATAAACTGTTAAAAAACCCTGAAAACAAAGGCAAAAGATTGGTCCCATAAGATAAAGATTGGATGCTTCAGTGTTTACCTTTTCTTTGCAGACACCTTTAACAACATCAGACAACCTACTCTCCAAAACAAGTTCACCTGGCGTTCTTGATGAACTTCCAGGTAAAGGAGGAAAGTTTGAGGCTAATAAGTCAAACTTTGGTGTTGGAGCCTTTGCTTCAGCTGTTGAAGGATGGGGTCTCTAAAAGACACAAATCAAAAAACAGGTTACATGCTCATCTCATTCTCTAATCCTGTACCACAGAAGCTGAAAGCTCTAAGAAACAAACCAAACTCCACCTAATGAAGAGAACTGTTCCTCTATAAATTCCTGGATTCTCATTTTAGTTCTCATTAGTATTGATCAATCTGACCTATCTTTAGTCAGCTCCTTCTATTGGTTCTTTTGCAAACTCTGCCACACTCTTTAAACCTTCTAATCAATCTCCACTATTCTTTGCTTTCTAAATTTGCTATACCCTCTTCCATAACAAAAATAAACACAAAAACCCCTACACTATCTAAATTTGCCATCATCTTTTCTCCTTTTATAGTCTCAAGGGAAAACAATATCCTTCCTTGAAAATCTTTTCATCTTTCTCCTCCACCTACCACTCTCTATACCCTGACAAGCCTCTCACTTGTATCTTCTTCTCTACTCCTTCACCGCACCACTAAAATTGCTTTGACAAGTCACCAGTGCCTTCTTCCACAATGCAAAATCTGACAGACTTTTTTTTCTGACCTCACTCTAGCATTTGGCATGGTAAACATTCTTTCCGGTGGGAGCTCATTCTTCCGTTAGCTTCTGATACCTCTTTTCCTTCATTCTCAGATCCGACAAGCATGTGCTCTTCTCCCCCTGACCACCTCTTTGGATGGTTTTGGTTTCTATATGATTGCCACTCTTTCTCCCTTTCCATACTCTCCCTGTGTGATATCCATTATCCACAGCTTCAACTACTACCTACATGCAAACAACTCTTAAAACAATCTTTTTCACTTTTTGGTGAATTTTTGGCTGCACAACTCTGAAAATTTACCAAAACTCACTAGGTTGTACGCTTTAAATATTTTCAGACCAGATCTTTGCCTGAAACCCAGATATCAATTTGCCTATTAGCTATCTCCACTTGGATTTCTCTTGGATACTTCAAACAACAAAATGAATAATCACATTTTTCAGCCCCACAGCTACTATGTTCCTCAAGTTCCATTCTCGGTCCTTTTTAAAATCACTTACTCTACTGAGAGTCCCCTGCATGATCTCATCTACTCTTGTAACTTTAATTACTACATGTAAGCTTACAAATTCTAAATTGTACCTCTAGCTAAGATCTCCTCACTGCACAAGGGTACCCCCACCCTGCCCTTTGTACTAAGAAGCATGCCGGTCTCCTGTTTCTTCAGTCCTAATCTTCAGTCCTCAATCCAGGTATTTTCAACATATTAAACAGACCTCTAACCTAATCTCTCCTCTCCTCAATTGTTCAGGGCCACTTGAGGATTCACATAGACTGCTACAATGGTATCCTAAAAAAGGTGTTGCCTAAAGTCTCAAGGCTGCCATGGTATAGAAAGCTATAAATGAAAACCCAACACTTTTAAAAGGTTCACAGTTTGCCCCAAGGACTATTCTTTTTGTTATAATGCAATATTTTTCTTCTTTGAAAATCTGTACCTTTTCACTGCTTAAACATGTGATATCTGTATACTTATATGTATATGTACACTATATAGTATACTATAGTATACTATATAGCATACTATTAAATATGTATATAATTCACTACTTATACATGTAAAGTGAGTATTATATTTCACATTTATGATATAAATGCAGGGTTTTCTTCAGACCTCCATGTCTTCCTGTACTATTTTTATTCCTCAACTCCTTTTGACCACAGTTAAGAAATGGGAAACATTCACCATGAACAAACCACACACACAAAAAAAATATGAATAATTTGAAGCTAGGTAAGTGAGGATTCAAATAAGAACCTGCCTAGAACTATAAAAATTTTTTTAAAAATCTCGAAGTGGTTTTACAGGATTGGCAAACATAAGAATCAGCACTAGGTAGAAAACTGCCCCCAAGTAACAATTAATAAATAGTATAACAGTTTCCAACACCATCCAACAGAGCTTTAAAAGTGAATCACATATACTACCAGACTGGCAAAAAATCATATACCTTGTAAGGCTTATGGATAAACAGAAACTTTTTTCAAAGAGTGAAAATCAGCACAACCCCTATAGAAAGCCATTAGGCAGCAACTTACTGAACTGTGACTCAGAAATCCCACTTCTAGGGATTCTCCTTCAGATACTACTGCACACATAGGAAGTGATGGTTGTATGAGGTTATCATTGCACTGTCTGTGGCAGCATTGTACAATCAAAAGATTGAACCTCTTTAAATTTCCATTAATAAAGCAATAATTAAACTTTCCATGGAATATTTTCATATATTTTATTTTAAACCATGTGAACAGATTAGGTATTCAAGTAATTTTTTTTAAAAGTGAGCAACACAGGTCAAAGCTCTAACTATATGTGTGCTTTAAGGGTGAGGGGTAGTGATGATGGCGGATATTTCAGGGTAAGAACAGGCTCTAATTATAATCAATATTATAATCAATAAAACAAAAACCCGGAAAGATACACCAGAAGTCAACGCCATAGTAAATCACAGAAGAAAAAAAAAAATTGAACGTATGTAATTAAAGGTTAAAAAAACCAAAAAACTTACTGGGATCCTTTCATCTTCCCGACGTCTTCGACCTCTGAAGAGAGTTCTCCTTTAAACAATGACAAAAGGGAGTGGGGGTGGGGAAGCAGGTGGGAGGGACAACTCATAAGTTTCTTCAAATGTATACATTCTATCAAAGATGGGTGAACTTCTATTTTAAGTATCTATACTTCCTAAATCTCCTTTATTATTAAAAGATATATTTTCTTCTGAAGAGATCCTGAGCTAATCTACCAAAAACTTCACCTACTACCACCACCACCACTAAGTAAGCTGGGCCCATTTTTATTAGCAGTGCTCCCTCCAAATCAGAAGCATATTAGGGTTCATTTTTTTTGTTTTGTTTAGGAAGGGTAGATAACATATAACCCCATTCCCACAGTTTAGATGTTGTTAGAAATTAAAACTATGATGCAGATGGAATCTTATCTTTCTAAGCTAATCTTTCCTTAGTGAACTGTAAAGAACTTCAGAATAACTTTTATAAACCTCTGACTCAGAGCTATATGGGCATTCTGAATTTCTTAATTATGAAAAACTAGTAACACATATTACATGAATAAAGTATTTATTTAGCATAACTATATACCAATAATTAAATTTAAAAATCACTAGATCGTGGTCTTCAAACATTCATATTATGATTAAAGAATTTTCATATACCTTATTTCCATATTTATTACCATATTTCCTTACCTGCCCCTACCATAGTCCCCATTCTGTTCCATCTGCAAAGTGGGAGTCTCTTTTGGAAGGTAGCTTTGCTCCTGGTGCCCTGTTACTGTAGGGTTATGTCGTTCAGTTGGAAAGTTCCTTGAACCAGATCTGTTCAATGGTCCATCCCCCAATGACACAGAGCCCTCTGTTGAGTGTTCTGAACCACTTGACCTAAAATGAGGCTTCACACTATAAGAAATATAAGACCATATATGTGAAAGGATAAATTAAAATGGAAAATATTTTCTCTTAATGGTAGAGACTCTTAACAGGCCAAGTTAAAAATTGCCTTCTGCTGTATTCTGATTTTCCATAAACTGGGTTGGACACAGAAGCATTGTGTTGTAAAAATGTAAACCCTTTAATGTCTCAGACATATTATTTTTAAAAGGCAAAGAATTTTTACATTAAAAAAAAGCTGTTTGGAGAGATTTGGGAGGTGATCCAAAGTTCTTCAAGATAAGGCTACTTCTACCCCCAAAGTTAGGATATAACTAGGATTTTAGCTAATTTCTTTAACACGAACTGCAGTTCTGACACATCTAAATCAGCCAGGCTGGAAGCTTATTGAGTCTATGCCATACATTCTCAATGGGGCAACAATACCCACAAAGGGAGTAAGAACTGGCATACATTACACAAATAGATATACAATAATCTCTAGTATTAAATTTTCATATGGGGGAATTGGGGGAAAAGTCTAAAAAAACTCTTTAGGGGACTGATAATTTTTTTTTAAAGTAAGGAACAGTGGAATATATTAAAATCCCAGCTTCCTACTAAGCATCCCTCTCCAAATGAAATCAGTTGTTCAAAGATCCAACAAAGATGTGAGACCAAAAAACTAGAAAAATATAACGCAACTAATAGCCTGGCATGACTTCATGAATTAAGGTATGGAATCTGGTAAAAAACAAAAAAACAAACCAAACCAAAGACAAACAAAGCAAAACAAAACAAACACAAAAACCACCTACATCTAACAAAAGTAGCTTTTATCTTGGATGATGGGTATAAGTACCCAACTCTCTTAACAATTTGTAAGCAGATGAAGCTAAGGCAGGGTAAAGGAGAGAGGATGCAGTTTAATCAATAGTGAAAACATCTAAAGTAAGCCCAAGAAACTGAGGACCCTGGCTCTACAGGAGATTAAAAAAGGAAGTATTAGATTTCTATTTAGCCCCTTGCTTGAACTTTATATACTCCATTTTTTTACAGTCTATTTTCATAGTTACAAATTTATAATATTAATAACACACTGTAAATTCCTGGTTCTTTGCATAGGGATTTTAAACCTCATAATTATGAACAATTAAACATTAATTCCAATAGCATCTCCAGCTATCCTACTAACTCTTTGGAGAGAATAACAAATTAGATTACTACTACTAAAACTTAAACATAAAAATTAGGCTATAATGTTGGGCTAAGTCTCATATACAATACTTTTCCAGATAATTACTTATGCGTTACAAAATAGTTTCTGAATAGCAATGAAATTTACAGTATGTCAACTAACACAAACTAATTTACATTATCCATCATATCTGAAAACGACCTCATGAGGTAGATATTGCTGTTTATGTATCTGTTCAGAAACTATCACTCACTGAAATTCTCTCATTGCATTTCAATACATCCAGTAAACAAGTTATTAGGTTTAACAGCCCTCAGATCTCATAATCTTACCCTTCACAGAGAGGGACTTAACAATCGCAGTCTTGGCAAAAGAAAAAAGGATGATGAAAGAAAGAAGTGATAAAAGATGTAAAGGAAGAAGGAAAATGACAGAAAGATAAAGTATGAAAGGTAGAAAATTGCCCAGACTTCTGAAAGTTAGTCCTATTCTCTCTCAGTAGGTCTAGTGATCATCACTGGGCTGTTACAAGGTTAATGTAATAAACTGCTCTTGACTGATAACTTAAATAAATAAAAATAAAGGCCTGGCAGTGGTCACTTCTTAGAAGTAAGAAGGAAGCAAGGATTTGGGTTGGTGGTCAAAAGGTTCTAGTTCATCTGCAATATCTGCATTTTTATAAGGAAGTATTCGTGTATTATTTCTGTGACTAAAAATTAACAACCTGTATTGGTCAAACAAATGCAAAAAAATGTACACAAGTAGTTTTGAATAACAAGCAAAATTATACTAAACCTATCCTGTATCTTCAAAACCAGATATATATCCTTATAAGCAAGAATGACTTGGGACTTCCCTGGTGGCGCAGTGGTTAAGACCCTGCGCTCCCAATGCAGGGGGCTTAGTATCGATCCCTCCTCAGGGTACTGGATCCCACATGCATGCCGCAACTAAGGCGCCCACCTCCTGCAACCAAGGAGCCCACCTCCCAAAACTAAGACTGGGTCCATCCATCCATCCATCCATCCATCCATCCATCCATCCATCCATTCAACCAACCAACCAACCAAGTAAGTAAATAAATAAATATACTTTTTTAAAAAAGCAAGAATGACTTGACTGTCATTCTTGGCTTTCTTATTGTATTTTTATCTCTTTTTTTACCTCTTGAAAGCACAGCAGTGCTCTCAAGTGACAATAAAGGAATACCATAAGCCCACTTAATGTATTTTTAAGTCAAGCATTTGCAAACACCAATACTTTTTGTTGTTATTAAAAACTGTTTTTAGTCTCTTATAACCAAGACATCTACTTCACGTAGACGTAACTGTTTAAAGCAAAATTTACCTCTTCAAAGAAACGTGAAATCAACAGATGCATATTTTTACAAAGCTACTATTTCTAATCATGAGAAATCTGTATCTCCTCACAAGGGAAGTTATAAACTGTCATTTGTATTAACTCAATTATTATTATTATTATTTTGGGGGGTTCGCGGGCCTCTCACTGTTGTGGCCTCTCCCGTTGCGGAGCACAGGCTCCGGACGTGCAGGCTCAGCGGCCATGGCTCACGGGACTAGCTGCTCTGCGGCATGTGGGATCTTCCCGGACCAGGGCACAAACCCGTGTCCCCTGCATCGGCAGGCGGACTCCCAACCACTGCGCCACCAGGGAAGCCCATTAACTCAATTATTTTTAAGAAAAAAACTTTACTAGCTATAGTAGAAGAAAAGAAAATGTGCTAATCTCAGGTCTGCTGATGATGAAAAGCCATGTAACCCTAGCAAGGTATTCATCCTCTTCAACTTTCACTTTCTTCAATTCATCTGTAAAATTAATTAAAACTACATCATAACAAAGGTCTTTCCAGATTTAAACATTACTGTCTCTGTGTGCACATGGAAATTAAATAATCTTTTTGGAACAACAGGATGGAGGTTAGAGGACAGTGTGTGTTTTTAAAGCTCACTGTACTTCTACTCGTATGTCCTAGCAATACTTCAATTTTGCTGTTATTACTGTATCACCAAACTAAGGGTCATCTACAAGAGCACAAGTAATCTTTTGTTTATAAAGAATCCTTTATTCTTACAATATGAAGAGTTCTCATTCGAAACTTCATAAAGCAATTAAGAATGTGTATATGTAGTAAAATTTTCTGTACACTTAAAAATGATCTTCAGGGAATCCCCTGGCAGTCCAGTGGTTAGGACCTGGTGCTTTCACTGCCGTGGGCCCAGGGTTTGATCTGGGGAACTCAGTCAGGGAACTAAGATCCCACAGGCCGCAAGGCAGGGAAAAAAAAAAAAGATATTCAAATGCTTTAACCAATTGTGTCAGTTAAAGCGAGTACATGGCTTCCCTGGTGGTGCAGTGGTTAAGAATCCTGTAGCCAATGCAGGGGACACGGGTTCGTGCCCTGGTCCGGGAAGATCCCACACGCCACAGAGCAACTAAGCCTGTGCTCCACAACTACTGAGCCCGAGTGCCACAACTACTGAAGCCCACGTGCCTAGAGCCCGTGCTCTGCAACAAGAGAAGCCACTCAATGAGAAGCCTGTGCACCACAACGAAGAGTAGTCCCCGTTTGCCGCAACTAGAGAAAACCTGCGCACAGCAACTGAAGACCCAACACAGCCAAAAATAAAATAACTTAAATAAATTTAAAAATAAATAAATAAATTCCAGCTATCGTTTTTTATCTTACCGATTTTTTTGGAATGGTCGACCCATATTCACAGCAGCAGCAGCAGCAGCAGCAGCAGCAGCAGCATTTGTTTTATAAGATCCTGGTGAATTAAAGCCATTCACAAAACTACCATTGGGAAAAGGAGCCTAAAAGAAAATTTTAATGTTTAAAAGCTATTCATAGTAAAGACAAAAATCTGGTGTGAAGGTCATATGAAACTTCTAATGAACTAACCTAGCATCAATTTCTTTGATAAGCCAAAAATAATTTTAAACATTTGCAATACTCACTCCAAGTTATCACTTGAATTACAGAACAAGGAACAACTGGTTCAACACTTAATAAAGAATATTTCTCTCTGAAAAAGTTTCACAAAACTAAAATCATTTTAAATCATTCAGGATTTTTCCAGTCTATTAATTTACCCAGCAACATTTAAAGAATAAAATGATAGGAACCAATAGCTCAACTCTTAGACTTAGTCATATGCATATATTTGATATGGGGGATTAAATATCCTTATCACCATTTACAAGCCAGAAAGTAACCAATATCAACACAAAACAAAATAAAACATGAACTCTAATTCTAGCTGATTTCTTCAAATTTCAGCTTCAGTGAAAAAATTGTATTATTCTGTGAGGATTTCACTTACCAGTGGTGTTTCAAAGTAAGGTGTGGGATTTGGAGACCAAGACTGAGGCACAATACTATAAACAGAGTACTGTTGGTGAGGATTATATACAGGCTGCATAAAGACCGGTGAGGCATACTGTGCTTGAGTTTGAATGGGCGGACTATACATACTAGAATCCATTAATCGATAACCATTCTTAGCAAAAAACGTATTGATGGCTTTTATCCTTGCCTAGAAGCAAGAAGAACACAAAGGATATAATCACAAAGGATAAAGTGTATATTTTCACAAATACATTTAATTTACATTTGGAACATATTTTCCATGACATTATTTCCATGTACTATAGAGTTAGTAGAGCAAAAGAAAAGGAAATGATTGATAGCTGTACTTTTAAAAACTTTTACATGGCAAATACAATTAATACAATAAACAAAGTAAAACAGTGAATGTCAAAATATTAAAACTAACTGCAACTTATCACAAGGGGGAAAAAGAAAGGCAAATGGCTCTTATATGAAAAGATGCTAGACCTTGCTCATAAGAGAAATGCAATTAAAATGGGATTAACATTTCTCACTTATAAAATTGGAAAAAGTCTAAAAATTTGACAACATACTCTATTGATAAGGCTGTGGCAAAACAGGTACTCTGATACATTGATGATGGGCATTCAAAACAACACAACCCTTAAAAAGGAAAATTCAGCAATGTCTTCCAAAATATCACATATGCATATTATCATATTCTTATCAACCCCACTTCTAGGAAACTTTACCGCATATACACAGACCAAAAAGAGGTTTTTTAAAAAATGATGCATACGGCTACTCACTGACACTTACTATGATAGGAAGTGGGGGGACGTGGGGGGTGAGGGGGCTTAGACCCACATCTCTCCCAAACACACACTCACACACACGAGACAACCCAAAAGTCCATCAATGATTGAAAACGACGTGGTATATCCAAACAATTATCAGATGTAAGAAAAAACAAAAAAAGAAAGAAACCTGAGGAACTGCTCTAAATATTATAATGGAGTGATTTCCAGAAAATACTATTTAAAAAAAAAAAAAGAGGCAATGCAAGGAGAAAGGTATGTATAGTAAGGTGTTGTTTAGATAAGTTAGATGTGGATATGAAGATATACTTGCATTCATACAGACACGTGAATATGAATTTAATATACTGCTTTAGATATTTTACTTTTAAGCCATGCACACACTGAATAAAATTTTAAAAAATCAGTTTGTAAAAGTTCAATGCAAAATGAACCTAAATGTGTATCCAACTAGAGGAATAACACAGAGAAACTCTAAATGACTTTTGGTACTGTTATTCTGAGACTTCTGTCTGTGATTTTGGATACAGCAAATCATAAATTATATTGGGGTCACTGACATCTGAGATTTTCACGTGGGAGAAAAGAGATGCAGACAGCAACTGAAGAAGTAAAAACCATGTAGCCTGAATTTAAATCGAAAGCATCTATACAAACTCATGATATATACTGTCATTAAAAAAAAAGTATTTAATAGCTCTGTTCAAAGAAAAAGCTTAGAAATAACAAACAATTAGCCAGAAGCACTCCTTGTGCCTAACCAGTGGACTGCAAAACATTACTTTCCCATAAAAGTAACATGGCAACTCCAGAGCCTTGTGACACAAAATGTACAAGAGCCTGGAACATCTTGTCACACTAGAGAGCAAGGAACATTGAAAATTACCATTACAAAAGGACTCAAAGAGGCCGTACTTCATCAGTAAGGACAACGAACACACCAAATATGTTTAAATATTCAAAACCAAAAAATATCTGAATGGTCGTTTTTGAAGGTTGCCAGGGAACCGACACATTATTTTGAAAACTGGTAGTAAAAGCTAGAACCAAGCATTTATCACACATTGTATATATGAGCTGTACCTCAAGGTAATGAAGATGAAGGAAAGCTTTTCTTTATGGAAGTGTTTCAAATAATAAATGGAAAAAAGCACAGAAATAGTACCACTTTGCAACCATTAACAAATCAATATATCTAGTCAATGATCAGCAGCAGCTAGTATAAGAGAGACACACAAAGACATATACTACATGTTTTTGTTCTCTTTGCTGCTCCAAAATAAAATCTAATTCTGATTAAGCCTCTAGATCTAGCTACCAATTTGCATGAAATACAGAGGTCAGAGGATCGTGTTAAACTACACTCAAGAATATAACTTGGGACTTCCCTGGTGGCACAGTGGTTAAGAATCCGCCTGCCAATGCAGGGGACATGGGTTCGTGCCCTGGTCCTGGAAGATCCCACATGCTGTGGAACAACTAAGCCCATGCACCACAGCTACTGAGCCTGTGCTCTAGAGCCCGCGAGCCACAACTACTGAAGCCCATGCACCGCAACAAGAGAAACCACCGTAATGAGAAGCCCGCGCACCGCAACGAAGAGTAGCCCCCACTCACTGCAACTAGAGAAACTCCACGTGCAGCAATGAAGACCCAACGCAGCCAAAAATAAATAAATTTATATTAAAAAAAACTTATTAAAAAAGAGCTCGTTTTTAAAACAAGAAAAGAATATAACTAGTCAATTCAAAAGTGGGCAGAGAACTTGAATAGGTATTTCTCTAAAGAAGATATATAAATGGCCAATAAGTAGGCGAAGAGATGCTCAACATCACTAATCATTGAAGAAATGCAATTAAAACCACAAAGAGATATCACATCACATTCATTAAAAGAGCTACTATCAAGAAACAGAAAACAGCCAAATATTGGACAGGATGTGGAGAAACTGGAACCCTTGTGCACCGTTGGTGGGAATATAAAGTGGTATAGCCACTGTGGAAAACAGTATGGAGGTCCCTCGAAAAATTAAAAATAGAATTACCATATGACCCAGCAATTCCACTTCTGGGTATATATGCAAAAGAATTAAAAGCAGAATCTTGAAGAGAAATCTGTATACCGATGTTCATAGCAGCCTTATTCACAAAAGCTAAAATGTGGAAGCAAACCCAAGTGTCCATCAATAGATGAATGGATAAACAAATTGTTGTATATACATACAATGGATTATTCAGGCCTTAGAAAGGAGGGAAATTCCGCAATATGCTACATGGATGAACCTTGAAGACACCATATTAAAGTGAAATAAGCAAGTCACAAGGAGACAAATACTATATGATTCCATTTATATGAGGTAAATGGTCAAAAATCAAAAAGTATGGGCTGAAGGAGGGGAAAGTGGAGAGTTCCTGTTTAATAGGCAGAGTTTCAATTTTACAAGAAAAGAGTTATGAGAATGGATGGTGGTGATGGCTGCACAACAATGTGAATATGTTTAATATTATGGCACTGATAAATGAAATTAAAATTTAAAATGGTTAAGATGGTAAATTTTATATATGTGTATTTTAACACAATAAAAAAACACATAGCTAACGAAATGTATAATGTGAGAAACTTTGTAAGACAAATAACAGTGGTTTCAAAAACATACTTCCAAAAGTAAAACTGAAGAGGTAGAGGACAAAATCATAAATTGTATTTTATATTTTTATTATTATTATTTTGCCGCTCCCCGCAGCTTGTGGGATCTTAGTTCCCTGACCAGGGATCGAACCTGGGGCCCCAGCAGTGAGAATGCCGAGTCCGAACCACTGGACCACCAGGCAATTCCCCAAATCATAAATTTTAATAAAGAAAAAAGAGAAAGAAAAAATGTGAATCGGGAAAATGTGAACAGTACCTGATGTTTAAGAAATTATTGTTTATTTTTCAAAAAGTGTGATAGTAGTGTGGCTATTTTTTTTTAATCCCTTTCTTTTAGAGATACCAGTATTAGTTTATTTACATACAGATGAAATTAAGTTTCAAATTTGCTTCAAAAAACCTGGGGACATCGGGAAGTAGGTGGGATTAAGATGAAACAAGAAGAGCCATGCTCTACTAATTAATCTATTAAAACCAAATAAATATGCTATGGATAAAAGGGAAATAATGTTCTTAAAGACTGAATAAAAGGGGAAATCTCAGCAGAGAAGGAATATATTGTTTAAAATAGAAATGCTAGAACCCAACTTGAAGATGAATTCAAGTCCACAGAAAGTATCCAATCTGAAGAAGAAAGAGATGGAAGAAAAACAGAATCGCAGTGAATCAAGCAATACTACATATGTGTAACTGAAGTCTCAAAAGGAGAGGAGAAAGTGAGGCAGAAAATTTTTTGAAAAACTAGAGGTTGAAATTCCCCCAATTTGGTGAAAAGCATCAATTTACAAACAATAAGTTCAGAACACCCCAAGCAGTATAAATAGAAAACCATAGCTAGACACATTAGAGTCAACCTACTGAAAACCAAAGAGAAAACAAAACAAAAAATATCTTGGCGGCAGGCGGAGAAAAACAACATATATTACAAGAATGACTCACTAGAAAGAACAGAAGCCAGAAAACAATGCAATCTTAAAAGAAGGAAAAAAATTAAAACTATCAACCCAGAATTCTGTATCCATGTACATGTATCAATGTACAGAATTCTGTACCCATCAAAAATGAGTGTGAAATACAAGACAGCTTTAGATGAGGAAAAACTAAGAAAACTCATCCCTGGTGGGCACTGTTATAACATCAAAGGAAGTTCTTTAGCCTGAAAGGAACTAATACCAGGTAGAATTGATCTATGGAGGAAGAGCAATAAAAAATGCGTTCTTGGGCTTCCCTGGTAGCGCAGTGGTTGAGAGTCCGCCTGGCAATGTAGGGGACACGCGTTTGTGCCCCGGTCCGAGAGGACCCCACATGCCGCGGAGCGGCTGGGCCCGTGAGCCATGGCCGCTGAGCCTGCGTGTCCAGAGCCTGTGCTCCGCAACTGGAGAGGCCACAGCAGTGACAGGCCCGCGTACCGCAAAAAAAAAGAAAAAAAAAGCGTTCTTGCTTATTTACAAGAGAAACAAGATAAAATGTGAAGCAACTTATTAGCACACACAATAAATGTTTCCCTGGACTCCTTCACAAGCATATCTCTAGGCCAAAGTCTGCAAGGACCCTTGACCTTGGATGTCCACTGCACAAGAGTGAGAGCTCTCCCAAATTATCATGGGTGATTTTTATTAATTTTTGAATCATGAACACTATAATTTTCCAATTAATTGGGCACAAAGATACTATAATAAAATATAGCACTATGGTATAATAGCTTTTATAACTATTTTAAATTTTTGTGAAAAACGTA